AAACTTATGTAATCCTAAAATCAGAGAAGAAACCCAAATGTTGTTTTGGGATAGTGTTTTGTTGTTGTCATTGCTTTTTTTTTTTTTTTTTTTTTTGGTATTGGTGGGGTTTCATCATTTTGCCCAGGCTTATCTTTCACTCCTGGGCTCAAGTGATTTACCCACCTCAGCCTCCCAGAGTACTGGGATTATAGGTGTGAATCACCACACCCAGTGTGGTGGGATAGTTTTTATTTTGATTTGTTTTTGGGTCACTGGGACTCTGTGTTTTATGATGCTAATAGTATTCATAATAATGATGACAGTTTATTAGCACTCATTGCACCCTGCCCGTAGGGCTCAGTTTTCTTTATAAATTTCAAATCTCCATACATTATTTTTACTGAGTTGCCACAGAGGCAATTTTTCTTTTTTCTTTCTTTTTTCTTTTGAGATGGAGTCTCTTGATGTGTCACCAGGCTGGAGTGCAGTGCCGCGATCTTGGTTCACTGCAACCTCCTGGGTTCAAGTGATTCTCCTGCCTCAGCCTCCCTAGTAGCTGGGCCTACAGGCGCGTGCCACCATGCCCGGCTAATTTTTGTGTTTTTAGTAGAGATGGGGTTTCACCATGTTGGCCAGGATGGTCTTGATCTCTTGACCTCATGATCTGCCCGCCTTGGCCTCCCAAAGTGCAGGGATTACAGGCGTGAGCCACTGCACCCAGCCAAGGCAATTTTTCTAATAGTAGAGCTGCTTTGAAAGGAATGAAAGGTGATAACCACATGTTCATACTCCCTCAATGTTCTTTCCTGTCCGCAGGATCCTGTTCAGTTTTACTTATGAGAAGATGGTACAAAGGTTTAGTAAGAAAGAAGGAAATAGATATGAAACCAATACGTTCATTAATACTTTCAACAGATTTTGAATACGTATTATGTACCAGATACTGTGCTAGATGCACAAGATGTGAATGAGGTGAGATGAGATTAGATAGGCGAATGAGTGGATATTTCAATTCTTTAGAAGTAATTTAGCAGAAGCTCTAATTATGTCAGTTTGATGTGTTTTTTTGTTTTTTTTTTGAGAGAGAGATTTAGTCCTAGGAATGTTACTGTAACCTGCTTTCATGCTTTCACTAGACTCTGGGTTCTCTTTTGAAGGGATCCAAGTGCTAAGAGATCAGCTGGTTTGGTTCCTTCCTGGCGTCATATCCCAAAGTCGCACAGTAGTAGCATCCTGGAGGTGGACTCCACAGCATCCATGGGTGGCTGGACAAAGAGTCAGCCTTTCTCAGGTAAGCAGAAGGACACTGGATTTGACCAGCAGTTTTGTCTGGGGACCAGACTTACCTGAGTACATTTGAAATTAGAGGACAGTTATAGGCCGGGTGCGGTGGCTCACACCTGTAATCCCAGCACTTTGGGAAGCCAAGGCAGGCAGATTGCCTGAGCTCATGAGTTCAGGACGAGCCTGGGCAACACGGTGAAACGCCATCTCTACTAAAATACAAAAAATTAACCGGGCGTAGTGGTGTGCACCTGTAGTCCCAGCTGCTTGGGAGGCTGAGGCAGGAGAATTGCTTGAACCTGGGAGGTGGAGGTTGCAGTGAGCCGAGATCGTGCCACTGCACTCCAGCCTGGGCGACAGAGTGAGACTCCATTTAAAAAAAAAAAGGGACAGTTACAGTTTGAGTATTCCATCAGAATGTAAATGTAGAGTCATTTCAGTTGCTCCATCTTTGGATTTATCTATTTTTTGTTCTTCATCACAGCCTGCTTGAATATTTCTTTCTACTTGGAGGGAGCCTTTGTGGGAGCAAGAAGGGACAGAAATATGGTGAACAGTGTTAATAACATCCCCATTTTTCGGAAGAATAGATCCTAGGGCTTTCCTTGGATTAGTGACAGCCTCTTGGAAAATGGATTTCTTATTGTTTAGTATTATGAATTGACATACCAAAGGGGTACATATGTGCCTATTTGCAAAACTTGGAAATAAGCAATTCAAATTTATCCTTACCCGTGGCTAAATATCTTAGTCTTACTACCAATTCTCTTGATAGTTACTGACAATTCTTAGAGGTAGCAGGAAGAAAGGCCTGCAGCAGCAGTAATAAAAAGGCATGAACCCTTTTAGGTATGTACACTAAAGGTTGCAGATATCTGGCAGAGCAGAACAATGCCTATAAAGGCAGACATCTCTGGAATCCTGTGCTCTAGTAAGTTACAGTTAAGAGACACGTGGAAGAAATTTGGGCTTCCCATTGTAATTATACATTTGGTTTATTCCCCATATTTTAATTTATTTCATGTTGAATAACATTGTTTTGAGAAACTTGTGAATCATGCATGAGACTATTCTCCCTTTTCTTCAGATAGCCAGGATTTTTTTTATTGCACTAAAGACTGAGTCTCATGATCTCCTGAATAGTCCTCAATTCTGGACTAGTTGGATAGAATTCACCAACAGCATTCTTCAATTGGTAAAAGATAATTAGCAAGGAGTTATGACAAGATTCTTCACACACCATATCACCCCACCATCCTCTTTGTATAACAAGCCCTATTTATGCCCCACAATTTGATCTAACCATTTTATTAAGACACAAAACAAACATTCTTATATGGTAACTTTGCATACTCTTTTAAAAAACTACAGAGGTAAATCAAGTCCAGTAATTCAATAATCTGCCCTTTGCCTCCTGAAATTGAAGGAACCACTGTTACCATTGTAGTATATATCTTTCCGTCTTTTTCTATGCTTACACCAGTACATAGATAAGTTTATGTACATATATATAGGTAAGCACCATTTTTTAAAAATAAGATGAAGTCATACTATACATGTTTTTCTCTCACTCAATTTTTCACTTAATTTTTTATGGACATCCTTCTAGATCTATTTAGATCCATCTAGAAAGGTTTATAAAATTAGACTTTTACTGCTGTGGACATTTTACAAATTCAAAGAGGTGGTGGAAATTAAGGGTGAGAAAATGACATGCTTGAAGCTCCCCAGTCAGTCAGTGACAACACTTGGTAGAAAGTGTTCTCTAATGATTAAAGCATGATTATGAATTTAACCTACTTGACTTTAATTTAGCTTCATTATTTCCCATTTGTTTTACCTTGGGCAAATTATCCTCTTTGTGACTCAGTTTCCTCATTCCTAAAATAGGGGTAATAGTATCTACCTTGTAAGTTGTTGTTATGATTAAATGAAATAATACATGTAAACGTGCTTAAAACTATTTCTGGCACATAGTAAGCGCTGAGCAAATGTTCAGTGTAATACCATTGTTGTGAAGCACTCAATAAATGTTGTTGTTATTGTTATTATTATTATTATTTTGAGACGAAGTCTTGGTCTTGTCCCCCAGAGTGGAGTGTAATGGCATGATCTTGGCTCACTGTAACCTCCACCTCCCAGGTTCAAGTGATTCTCCTGCCTCAGCCTCCTGAGTAGCTGGGATTACAGGCACCTTCTACCAAGCCTAGCTAATTTTTGTATTTTTAGTAGAGACAGGGTTTCACCATGTTGGCCAGACTGGTCTCAAACTCCTGACCTCAGGTGATCCTCCCACCTTGGCGTCCCAAAGTGCTGGGATTACAGGCATGAGTCACTGTGCCCGGCCTGTTGTTGTTATTATTATTATTATTATTATTATTATTATTATTATTATTCCTGGCCCAAGTGCCATCCTGAATCTGATTATGGGAAGCATTATCCAAAATAAAAGCCCCAAATTGGGCCTGGTGCAGTGGCTCACACCTGTATGTAATCCCAGCACTTTGGCAGGCCGAGGCAGGTGGATCATGAGGCCAGGAGTTTGAGACCAGACTGACCAACATGGTCAAACCCTGTCTCTACTAAAAATACAAAAATTAGCTGGGCTTGGTGGCACGTGCCTATAGTCCCAGCTACTCAGGAAGCTGAGGCAGAAGAATCGCTTGAACCCAGGAAACCGACGTTACAGTGAGCTGAGATGGCGCCATTGCACTCCAGCCTGCGCAACACAGACTCCATCTCAAAAAAATAAATAAATAGCCGGGCGCGGTGGCTCAAGCCTGTAATCCCAGCACTTTGGGAGGCCGAGACGGGCGGATCACGAGGTCAGGAGATCGA